TGACAACCCGAATGCCTCTCTTGAGAAGAACCAAATTATCCCTTCAGTTGGTAACCTTCCAAGATAGGACCAATAGGGTTTTTTTGACAGATCCAAGTGCCTGTCTCAGTTTCTGTCTCTTCGTTCATGCATCAGTCGGTTGTCCAAGTCTGTCAAGTGGCCGGCGGTGGGATTAGGCGCAGTGCCTGAGGCGATCTGAAGGTCTAGGTCTAAGCGGGACACTACAACCCCATTTGTGGCAATTGTAATGGGCTCGAGAGGGCTCTGTGCAATTCGGTGAATGCATACCCTAAGCTGATCTGACCTGCATTGCGGCCCAGTGTACCCAAAAGGCAATTCGTTATGGGGGCCATGAAGTCAGTAAATGTCAGTTGTGAAGGCGATGGTTGATGGGAAGTCGCGAATATTCTCATCGATGGTATGTTTGGGAGGGGTTGCAGTCAAATAACTAACGAAGACAGTAAAATTCTCACAGATATCATCAGTGGGCAAAATGACTGAAACATTTCTCAAAATTAACGTCAATTAACTGTAGGAAATGGACTGGTGCGCTTTTATAGACAGGACTTAGTACTATTAACAGCAAAGAGTTATCTTCTGACATGACATGCCCATTTTAATGTAGGAAGTGAACGCACCTCCTGAGTTAAATATCTATGGCAGTCCTCACTGCTGCGTCTTCAGTGAGCTGGCTTTTTTATGCTAACACCAGTTCACATGATGGCGACACGCTACTTCTTTAGTGGCTAACACTAAGTACCAGTATTCGAAAACGTTGCAAAAACCACCATAGATGAAAGTGGGCAGCTCCTATTTAGCTCCAGTGTTGTCAATTAGGTTTTAATGTGAAACCCAGTCCTAAAATTAACTGTGGCGAAAGTTCGCTTTGAAAAATTCAAAAGATAGATGTGTCTGGGCTTTTAGCTAGTAGCTGTGCTGCCAGTAATGATTACCCGTGTTTCGTCGTTGTACGACACAGCCATGAGGGTTCGGCCAAATCCTTCGCAGTCGTCATACAGCGGCGGAACATAGGAGAAACACGTCTGGGCCTTAAAGTAGTACCTGCGCAATCAGCATGTTCTATCATGCAACTTAGGCATATACTACTGTGAATATTACGTGGTTATCCTACTCTGGCTGACGGACTTCGCCCCCAACTGATAATAACACCTTTTGGTCTGTGCCTATAAACCCTAGTTAACAAGGATTTACTCCGAGGTAGGGATTAATTTCCCCAGAAACTAAATAGCGATTATCAGTAGTTTCCCAGAAAAGGTACCTGTTGACAACAAGAGGGCAAACTGCGGCATAGGATCTGATAGACGACACCAGAATACCCATTTAAGGCTCTGCCAGTCAGGTGCGCCCAACAGCTGCATCGAATGACTGACCAGCCCGGACAATCGACTG